AATGATTTTTTCAAAAATTTTACGAATTTTTTTAGGGGCTAAAATATTATCCGATGATAATGAATTTTTTTCTACACAAACTAAGCCAATTGATGTAGATTCTGACAAATTTTGGTTCAATTCTATAGAAAATTACGAAAGTTATGAGGAAATGACGTTAGCATAGTCAAAAATAGCCCAAAAAAGCGGTTTTTGGGGGTCTGAGGGGGGCGGAGGGGGTTGGGGGGCTGAAACCCCCCAAAACCTAAGTTTTAGGACCCCCTTGATGACTTAAAATGGTTAAAATAAAAATCCATTCACAAGGGCATTTTGACATGCTTATCCCGGGATACCCTTTAGTCCAATCTGTGCTACTTGGGGGAAGGAAGATCACCTGGGGTGGTTACCGGCTGATTTGATTCGTAAAGAGTCTAACAGTCATTATTAGATCGAAATCAAGTAGGGGAGAGTGGGGTTATTTGAGCCAGTTTTAGAAAAACGCTCCTAAGTCTTATTTAGAATTTTTTTTATCTAATCTCATGATTTAATGCGATCAAGTATACTCTTAGCTATTTAATTTATGCCGGAATATATTTTTTGTGCATGAAATAAAGTCAAAATCTGCATTTGAGCAGGGTAACCTTTTTGGCTCATTTAACCGCGATCATGGGGTCTAATGAGCCACCCCTGGGGTTAACTGAGTTATATAATAGATATTTGTCAAACCTGTAAGAGATATATCTTTAAATGTTTAAACTTTGCACTATAAAAAAAGCAAATGAACAAGAAATATGGAAAGGGGGGGATTGGGGTTTCCTTTTTCATCCTTCAATGTAAAGTTTGCAATGACTTGATGGGCATTTTCTTTTTCTTTTTCTTTTTTTTTGGTACTTGTTTAATGAATGAGTTCACCTGATGTAAATAAAATTATGAATGAATAAATGTACGTTTTTCTCAAAAACATAAAGACGGAGTGCTCGTATCTAAAAGCAAGGGGGAAAAGTGAAGCCTGCATGGTTTGGCGCTGGGTGCTTGTGCGAGTGTGTAAATGAGTGCGGAAATCCATGGCGGCAAACGGAAATTTGATTTAAACTTGTCCTCTTGATTTTTCCACATTTCTTCTTCGAAACGTATTTTAAATGCCTAAAACGAATATATTAAGAAAGTTGGGACTGCGTCTTATTATATTACACCTACTTTTGCTCGGTAATAGGCAGTAATCTCAGATAAAGTTAGTTTTTCTTCTGCTCATGGTGGTTCTACAGGTTCAAACAGGCTGTTACAATTATAGATGATCGTTACTCCCAAATGAAATTAATCGGTCAACGACGGACCAAAGCTAACCTAAAGTTAAAAAAATATGAGTGGGTAAGTGAATTTGGGCAAAAATCAACCTAGAATACTTTGTTTCCGCAATTTTATTTAGTTCCCGCCCTACATTTGAATTTCAAACTTGTCCCGATTTCGCCGCCAATCCTGTAGCCAATAGTGGAGGTGGTTGAAAAAAGCTTCATTTTTTGCTTTTAGCCCTCCGTCTTTATGTCTTTGGTATTTCTGTCAAACGGAACTAAGCGCCAATTTGAGTTCCTTTTGAGGAATTTAGAACGCTGGATACCGCGTTCTGTCAAACGGAACTAAGCGCCATGGAAAAGCATTGCGAGTATAGGACGGAATGAGCCCGACGCCCGGTTTTGCCGCCAATCAAAGCCCCCCTCTACCTCCCCCTATGGCGCTTGGTTCCGTTTGACAGAAAAACGTCCAAATAGATAAATGATTAATGATAACTTTTGGTTGGTATGAGAGGAGTGTTAAAAGAAGGTAACCTTAAGAATAGGTATTTAGAATTTCAGAATAACGAGGTGATAAGAATCCACTTTTTTGGCAAAAAGTATGAATCTTCTTTTAGAGGCTGAAATAAGAATTTTGGAAAGTTTTGAAGGTTTTCTGGAGAACATTTTTTTTTCAACCCTGCATTTCATGCCCACCAAAATAATGCAATTTTACGGCTTTAAGCAGAATTCTTCTGGGAATTCTTGGAACCGCCTTTTTTCTGATAAACTTTCTAGTCATGATTTCTGCAGAAAGAAAAATTCAGAAAATCAGTTAAGATCTAGACTTGGTGAGTGGCTCATGTCACCCCCCCCCCCCCCCCCCCAAAAAAATGACTAATTTAGCCCCCAAGCAGGTTAGAATTTTCAAAGGATGCTGAGGAAATTTCAAAATAATTTTTTTCAACGTTCTAAAAGGCCGAAATGTGGGGAAACAAGTCTACTTTTCAAAACAATTTACAGCATTATGATCCAAAGTGAGTACTTAACAATGTGCACAAACTTCTTGAATGAAAAATTGCCGTTTTAGGCCGAATGCGACGGCTGCCGTGCTAAGCAAGAACGCCGTAAATCCATCAAGATTTTCCCGCGTTTTTTAGAACTTAACACTATAAAATAGAAACTGTTCTACCCATACACCTCAAAGGACCCCGCACACCTCTTGTGGGAAGCTGCACCATGACCGATTGCCTTCTGACTTATGTCATTCGATTCTCCTCAAGATGCTGATCAAGATGCGCCAACTTTCTACGATGCACCGTTTTCGCAAAAACCAAAGAGAAGATTCAATTATTCGGCGACTATGAGTAAAAAAGAACAAAGCATTTGAGAACTGGCCCGATGTAAATAAGGAAAAACCGTAGCGCGTGTCCGTCTTCTTATCTGTACCTGCCGACTCAGGGGCTATCTCCCTCCCGCACTCGCCCGGTAGACGTTCAGACTTTCCTGTTCTTATGCTCTTCAAGAATCTGATTTGGATGGTCGAGCAAAACGGCGTGTGGAATTCGAGATAAGACTGCCGCTCGGTGCGGGAGTCCCCATGATTTCCTTGTTGACACACAGCCGCTTGTCAATCGAGCACTGAAATGAGGAATCTTTCTGGCTTTTAATCACCGAATAATTGAATTTACTCATAGGTTTTTTGCGAAAACGGTGCATCGTAGAAAGTTGGCGCGAGTATAAATTTTGATCAGCATCTTGAGGAGAATCGAATGACATAAGTCAGAAGGCAATCGGTCATGGTGCAGCTTCCCATCGGGAAAGAGGTGTGCGGGGTCCTTTTCAGGTTAAGTTTCTGATAGTTGATAGTATTTGCGAAAGAATTCTGTAGAAACATTGTCCCAAGGTAAAAAACACGTTTCTTTGCTATAAATCATTGTTTCCAAAAAATTTAAAATGGCGTTTCCGGCGTTTTTGCATGCGTTGCACGGCAGACGGCTCCGCAGCTAATGCGACTCCAAAACAAAAACAAAGAATGCTGATGACGTCACTGCACATTTTTTTGGTAGAATACTAGTATTGCCCTCTTCCCACGCCGGCAAAACCGAAAAATCCCTATTAGGTAGGAAAATAGCCCGTGTGACTCATTGAACCCCGTGGCCCAAATAATTCCACTCTCCCCTAGGTACTATGATACCTCAAACCTCATAAAGTTTTTCTTGACGACCGTTCTAGAATGTTTACTTAACTTGAGATTCATGGAATATTAGGAGGGCGAATCACAGGACCAAGATTGAGCAACTGAGCATGAGCATGAGCATGAGCATGAGCATGAGCATGAGCATGAGCATGAGCATGAGCATGAGCATGAGCATGAACGCTGGGATCAAGATGTCACATGGGAATGGCATAATGTTGACCATGAACCCTCATATGTCGGTTCAAGTTTCCAGATTGAGAAAATCGAAGCAGACAGAGCTTGCACTGGTAGGGTTTTTCTCCCGAGTGGATACGTAAATGTTTGGTGAGGGTACTCGAATCTGAAAAAGCTTTTCTACAAAGTCTACACCTATAAGGGCGCTCGCCGGAGTGAGTGCGCATGTGAGTGGTCACAGACGAGGACTGCGAAAAGCGCCTATCACAAATATTACACTTAAACGGCTTTTCGCCGGAGTGAGTCCGGACGTGGGCCGTCAAATTGGCCGCTTGACTAAACGACTTGTTACAATCTTCACACCGGTAGGGTTTTTCTCCGCTGTGAGTTCGAAGGTGCGTCTTAAGCGTGCTCGGCCGGGCGTATGTTTTCCCGCAAATCCGGCACAAATTTGGCCGATCTCCGCCGCTCTCGTTGTTGGAGCAATCGTGGTGGATCGAGGACAACTGCAACCCTTGTTCCATGTGCGTGTGCTCATGCTGGCCTCGTTTCACGCCGAGCTCGTCCTCTTGCTCATGCCCGTGCTGCTTCCTCATGTTTGAGGACGGTGACGTCGGGGCCTCTAATGTCGGTGACATTGTGTTATGAGGCGATATGGTTATACAGTAATTGCTAACACTCTTCAGATGGTTCGGCATCGAACTGCTTAGGTTCGACGGTGACAGAGGTGAGATCGGTGAAAGAGGCCTGTAGCTGGGCGTCGCTCCCTTTTCCTCTCTGTGTCCAGACCCTCCTTCCGCACCGTCGGCACAACTCCCGGCTCTGTTGCTCCCGCAGCCACTTCCGAGAGGATTCGTGTATATACTGAATCCTTGCTCCACCGTGTTCTGATTCGATTGTCGGAAGTCCGTCGTGAAAGAATAACTGGCACTCCCACCGTGGTTTCCACTGTGCGGATTCAGCAATCCCTGGCTTTGGTAGTTAGGTGAGTTTGATTCTGATGTTGAAGGTATTGATATCCACTGCATCTATGAAAAAAAAAACCCATCAGTGAGTTCAAAAGTCACGAATCGATAATTTTTACGTACCTATAGACTAAGAAATGCTTTTATTTGTCAACGGCCTGTTGCAAGGTGCGGGGATTTGCGAATTGATAACTGATTCCAATGGCAAATTTCACGAAAAGAACGATGGCGTTATTAAAAAAGCTTGAAATGACTTCTCAAACTCAAACAAGCTGTTTTTGGAACCGACCCATTCGAAACGGCCACTTTTATTAGGAATTGGCAGCCGCTTTCCAAATGCAAATATCGAGTCAATCGATGGTCTTTTGACCCAAATGGAATTCAGAAATGGAGTCCTTGAACGTTCAAGTGGTTACATCCTTTCAGTAAATAAGAACCAACGGGATAAACCCTATTCTTAAGGAAAACTGTACCTAATCAATTACGATTGTTTAATACATCTGCCATAATGATAACAGACATGGACGTTAGCTCAATATTCAGCCATTTTCATGAGTTTTTTCTTTTTTGTCACTGTTTAAAGGTAATTTTTTTTTTTTTGTACATCAATTTTTTAGTACCTCAGGAGCATGTTGAAAGCTGTAACGGTATACATTGTCATAATACATATTTTAATTCAGAACACATTCCGGCAGTCCAATAAACGCTCAAACCATGGCTGTTCTCTCATTGCCTGTAAATCGTTTTTGACTCTTTAATAAACATCTTAATATCATTCAGAATGTTCCCACGTTCCATACGCTTATGTTACTTTAAAATCCATATTATTCGTAAAGTAACACTTTACCTACAAGAAAATGTATGGTAGATGGGGGTAAAAGGCCGCACCCCAGTTTTTTTCCGAGGATTGTTTAGGTTAGCATCGGCACCGTGGTTGGTCCTTACCGGTGTACTTACGTGGTTGGGACCGTGGTATATGGTGGTAATGTTGGTAGTGGTGATGTTGTTGTGTTGACGAAGTTTCGGACCGAACGGACGCATTCCCTCGGAAACATGAGGGTGATTTCACGATAAGAGGAATAGGTAGGTAGTCGTGTCACCGTGGGATATAAATAGGTAACGTAGGACAAAAAGATTGAAAAATAAGTTCATAAATCAATAGGAATGATGTCCCTGAACTTATCTATTCTAAAATTTATGATAAATTATTACACATTGTGCACACGAAAAAGTCCTCTTTCTTCCGATTCAGTCAAGGTAAATTGGTCTTGCAACATCCAAACTTTGATTGCATAAATGGCTCTGCACATCCATCGTGTTTTGTTCAAAGCTCCGGTTGACGTAAATATACCACCCCGTTGTGGAACTCCACCTAGGAACATTATTTTCACAGACGTTCCAGCCAAGGGATGATTACAAATAAATGCTGTGCTTAATCATAATATTCCTAGGTGGAGTTCCACCCAACGGGCTGGTGTTTATGGCACCCGGAGCTTTGAACAAAACACGATGGATGTGCAGAGCGCCATTATGCAATCAAAGTTTGGATAAGGTGAGGTTGGGTAACTGGGCAGGAGTTCGGAGAAAAATGTCAAAATTTCAACTTCATGATTTTTTTCCCATCATTATATTGACAGTGGAGGCTACTTTTAAATTTTTTTTAGTAAGTACAACACCTTGTCTAAATGTAGGAAGAGTCAAAAGTCGAATTTCATCTTTCAATTTTTTTCCACAAATTTTCAAAAATTTCCCGTTTTTTTCACCCAGTTACCCAACGTCGTGGGGTAACTGGACTACCCCCCCTTAATTTTTAAGGGGGGCATTATTTTTAATTCTCATTGGCCAGAAAGTGATGCCCTGCTCATGAAGGTTTAAGAAAATGTCATTTGAATGTATATAAACATGTTTAAGTGGTTAAGAATGATGTCGTAACAGTTAGCGGCAAAAAAACCCTCAAATCTGAGAATTGAATAACGGTAAAAAAAAATTGTTTCCTTGTAGATAAATGCTTAGAACTTTCTGTATTACTACTTATAAAGTAGTATTGTATACCAGGACACTGTTTGGCCACTTTTAGTGAGATTAAGCATGATACATTTTTAAAAAATGAAAAAAAATTAAGCCGCGAGGCTGATCTGGGATAGAGTCAGGCGCCAAAAAGTTCCCTTAATTTTTAAGGGGGGCATTATTTGTAATTCTCATTGGCCAGAAAAGAATGTCCTTCTCATGAGGGTTTCAGGGAATTTCATTTGAATTTATATAACCATGTTTAAGTCGTTAAAAGTGATGTCATAACAGTTAGCGGCAAAAATGTAATTAAGTAATGCTTAAGTTATGCTATAATTGACTTAAGTTAGAAGTTTAGTGTGCTGGGAACCCTGATTATTGGTCTTTGGCACTTAAAAGTCCACAATAGTCAATTAGTTGTGACATTTTCAGAAGTAAACAAACACCGAAGCACAGCAACCTTGCAATGGGTAACTGGGCAGGTGCCACCACTGCCACCTGCCCAGTTACCTTGGAGTGGGTGCCCAGTTACCCCACAAAGGGAAAATTTTCAAGGTAACTGGGCATCAACCCTTTGCAGCCAGTATTTTCATCCAATTACGTTGTAATTACTCACGCATTACACAAATACATCATACATGAAGAAGAATTGTCAAAGTTGAATAAAATACTTGCTGGGAGTGAGATATGAGGCTCTTTTCGGGACCACCTCCGGCGTTGTTTTGAAAAAAAAGCTGTCCAATTTTCGGCACTTCACCATTCACCATAAAATTTTTTTTTGAAGTTATGTTTACATGTTCTAGATGGTTTACGTCATAATGAAGGTATGCCAACAGTGAAGACAATTTTTGCACTAATCTGGTAGAAATACAGAGGGTACTGCCCAGTTACCCCACCGCCCAGTTACCCAACCTCACCTTAGCACTAAAATAGTCTGCATGTAGGAGTATCATGGATGTCAGATCTGGGATCTTGCACAGCTAGTTTTGCAGAAAACTTGTATTCATACTTGGTGAAGCCAGGACTACACAATTTTGAAGGTAGGAAAGGCATACTTTTTCCTGTATTTGGTGTGGAGCGCTGAATCTAGTTCTCTGCAGCTTGACCATGTGTCTAATAATCATACCTATCGACGGTCAAGTGTTTTTTGCCTTTCTACCAACACATTGAGTTTTTTCAACTTAGATCAATGACTGAGGCTAAATCCGATCATAGAAATCTATCTGAAACAATACAATAGCCCACTGCGTAACTCATTTAAATGTTTCATTTTATTTTCATTTTCAGAGTGGACAACCCTGATATTTCTATTTCATACCTTACCTACTTACCTACGACTTCATTCCTGTTGGTTCAATCACAATGGCAACAACATCAATCGTAAATGTGATGAGCTCCCAATAGTCAAGGTATCTTCGTCTGCGATTACGATGAATTGGAACCGATAAATCCAACGCGAAATAACTCCTCAAAAATGTTTGTCTGCTGTTTTGTACCAAATTTAATTATTTCGAAGAGTGTAAATATTTTCAAATACTGTTTAACTATCCACAAGTATTCATTTATTTTGTTTCTATGATTACTACTACATTTTAAATACTAAGTATGAATAAAGCTTCTTTTGTTCTTGAAATTTTGCTTTCAACGTATGTTTTTCCAATCGTACTTTCTGTTCAGTTCCATGGAGAATGGATATGGGTACCGATGCATATCATGTGCAAAAAATGATTCAGACAAATAAGTATTCTCTTTTAACAGCTAAAACCATGCCCTTTTCAATGCAAGCTGCTTGACAGCAGTTTAGTTTAGTATTACGTATGTAAGTAATGTCCTTTTGAATCTCTCTGAAAAAATTGTATACCTAACTTTTTACGTGTAAAATGAGTCAGCTACAGCCATACAAGTAGGTGTCTAATAGCAATGCCATGCAACAAGAAAGAATCGCAACATTTTGAGAAAAAAATACTGTCCATTGAGACTTGCAACGTCTTGATGCTATCGTGTTTTCATGGCTTTGAATGTTGTTTTTAAAGACTAATTTTCATCATAAAATTTAGAATATTGAAAGGAAACACCTGTCTTTTATCCATCCTAGTGGTTTTCGATCATAGGCATGTTTTTTCTGCTTTCCTCAAGGGCAAACGAAAAACATATTGCTTCGCCTTTCAGCAGTGGATGAAATGAGCCCTGAATTAAATTCCTCGAGGACGTTGAAAGAAAATTTACAACGGACCATCCAACGTTTCCAGCTGGTAAAAATATACTATCCACTTTTCCTGACAGCAGTCCCTAAAACGAGTAGGGAGAAAATGATGACTTGACTCGATAAAAAATCCAACAGCGTTGCATGATGGTGCAGAAAAATACGAATTAAATTACAGTGTTGTATAGGGATTCTTGTTCAATATGGCAACGCTGTAAAGTAAAAGTATTGCATGTTGCCCCTTCAATAATGGGATTATGCAATGGTGTAATGTAGCCCCCTTCAATCTGCGGTTTATGCAATGGTGTATTTTTCAAGATGGCGCAGCAGCGTTGCCGGACGGTGCACTTAAATAAATGATTTAATTATTGGTGAAATTTTGTAACATCGCATTTTACAGTGTTGCCAGATGGGGCGAGAAATTAGTTAATTTTTCGATACAGTGTTGCCAGATTGTGCAAAAATTCGGATTTTCGGACTTGTAAAAATTTTCGGTTTCGGAAGACCGTATCTAACAGTATGGGCCTGGTATCGGAGACTGGAGATTAGGGTCTGATTCGGTAATTTACATTTTCTTAGCGCTTGGAGATGCGTACGGGAACCTTGTGCTTTGCGATGAGCGACTGGGATTGGATATTGCAATATTCAGTTTGATAAATCAAATTTTTTTTTTTGGGGTATTTACAGTTACAGTTTAAAACAGTTCCCGTTGCAAACTATTTATACGGAATCCTTACTATCGATCCAACTGTTGTGACTCGCGTCCAGACCCAACCATTTGACAAAGGCCTGGTTTTTCTTGCGACGCAGAATTTTCTCCACCAGGAACGTATCCTTATAGTTGGTGGGTTGGAGTTCTTCG